CTAGACTTGGTATGCTTTCATGAGTGTGATTACAGATAAACATTGACACCCCTTCAGTTTCCTTTTGCATTGAGCAAGCTCCTTGGAGGGAGAACCTGCTTTTTGAATGCTTTGTAAAACACAAACTACGTCTAATGTACTATGTTAAAAATGGCAAACAATAAAGATGAATACTTACACCATGCAGTACCTCCCATACACTCAGGCTCCTCACTGTGTTCTCTTTTCAGTTTCTTCATCTTCCCCCATGACTTCCCCTCACTTTTATGCTTTGTCATACAATTTCTTTGAATTTTCATCTTTTATGCTTAGAAAGAGAGCTCAAAGGGAACAAAGAGGTTCCTTGAACACAAGTGGAATTTACAGTCAATTTGTTTTTAAAAGGGGAAAGAGATTTTCTTTAGAAATACAGCCCTACGAAATTCAAAAAACAATACCCATCAAATGGGATCCTTGTCAAAACAGCGTGTTGCCATAGTGGGTAATGCTCACAAATAAGCCAGATAACAGCATGCAGGTTCTGTGAGAGTGTGCTTGTGAAAGACCAAAGGCCATTGGGGTATTTCTAACTCATCCAGTTCTCTGATCTGGTGCCTGATGTAGCCCTATGAAAAGGTACCTACTACAGCACACCCACTGCACTGTGATAGAGATAAAGCAACAGCTACTTTCATTCCATAGGAAAAGTTTGTGGAATTGCCTCCTGATGCCATTTATTGGTGCAGCCACAACAGCAAAGTGTTCCTAGTGCAAATCTAGTTTCACTGGCAAGTGTCACAACATTCCCATTCCAGCATTAAAATGCCTGAAATCATTTTGACTTGAAGATGTGCCTACTTAAATTGGTTTGTAGCATTCAGGTATTCCCCAAGAACAGTTATCTTTATGACCTCTTTCTCCGAGGACTCCCCACCTGTCTGCCTGGAAGTTGACTAGAGAAGACCAGGGCATGATTTCTCTTCTTGAGATTGAGCAAATAAAGCTGAAAACCAGGATGTAATTTAAGGGTAAGCAAACATTTTTCCTTTAGACCTCTGATTTAGCTCAAGGCAAGGAAACCCATGGTATTTGCATATAATACACTTGAGGAAGAAAAACTGTCTTATTACACATCCTAGTCTTGTTTAAAAAATGATGCATGTTTTCCTTAAGGAAAGACAAATTAGCAATCCCCAGAGTTTTTCACCAAAAAGTCCCCAAAGAGCTCTGCAGTTCCCTGGCAAACAACCAACAGAGAACCAAAGAACTTGCAAAGCCACAAAAGCAACAGGTTGTTAGTCAAGTGCTCCAGCAGTCTTTGGTGACATGCAGCTTGTCAAAGCAATATTTGCTTTTGAGAAACATGAACACAGGGTATTACTGACCTGTTCAACCTGTTCACTTCAAATACAGCACAGGGCAGCTTGGTTTAACACTACAAAGAACTCTGACATACTTTACAAGATCTGTAGGAACTCAAGTTCCCTCATTTTAAGCTTTGAGGAATTCAACCAGGGGAACTGGACATCAGCTTTCCAACCTCATTCAAGACATCTGGAAGTTATTTACTCAGCCACTGTCATGATCCCTCTTGAACAGTCTCCTGACAGTTGGCTTTTTTTCCCCACACAAAATCTAACACTCCTATAGAAGAACACTATATTTCCATTTGTATTTCTCTTATTATCCACAATACTATTTTAAGTCCTAATCCCCCAATATGCATCAGTGGTTTGTCTTACTACTGTAGCATAGTGGAGATTATTAGAATGAGAAAGACGGTCAAACCAAACACACAAATCAAAGTGGAACATACTGTAACCCTAGTAATTCTATTTTACTAAAATACCTTATTTTTCTATCTAGGAATGTCATTTATGTAGCTATTTATTTGACTCACAGCATTCAGCAAGCAATGCCTCCTGCTGCTGTGTTTTACCTCGCCCCATGGTAGGGCTTCTTGCAGACATGTGCCTGACAGCCGACAGAAGAGGGGAGACAAGCTTTGACCACGACAGCTCTGCAGTTTGTTGAATTCTTTAGTGGCAGCACCATTTCCATGCTGTTGTCAATCACCTCTTCTGAAAACAGCCTCCTCTGTACAAATCTCCCAAGTTATCAGGAATAAAAGTGGCATGAGCTTGCTCCTGGGCAGATCAATAATTCTAGAAGAAACAGAATCCATTCCAGAACAGGTCAATGATCCTAGAAAACAAGAGATTGACACATGGGATAATTCTGGATTGGCTCCCTGGCTATAAACTCACACTTGACTGTGATCAGGAACAATTTTCATGTGTAGATAGTCTGAGAGATTTTTTACAACATTCAGAACTGGACCCTTTGCTCCTACAGAAATGTACAGTAGTAATTCTCATTTCTCAGACAGAAGAAAAAGTTGGATAAACACTGAGAATTTCTGAAATCACACCTTAGGGAGGTTTTACATGTCAGAATGCAGCCATCTGGTTGATACTATAAATGCCACCTGCACAGGGAAACAAAGTGCAATAGAAATAAAAGGATGCAAGAAAAGTAATCGGCAGCATTACAGAGATGCTATGCAGGAAAGAAATTCCTTGGTATCTAGAAACTACGCCTTTGAGTCTCAGCAATATTACTCATGCATTTCAAGTACCAGGCAGATCTCCTGACCTGTATCTAACTCATGAGCAAGTGCTGTTTGTTCAGGGCTTAATACATTTTGAACAACGTGACTACTGATAAATCAGTGTAACTCAGTGTAGTACAGTGTGGATTAATTGACCTCCTTTAAGCTCTCCACAAACTTTAACCATTATTATAGATAGATCAGCGCAAAGTATTTCTATTATGTACAGGACCAATTAAATAAGTGATTTTCCATAAGAAACTGTCCCCAGCAATAGAAGAAGTATTTTAATGCTGTTGTGTAAATTCCAGTTCCTTCTTCCCTTGAATGCTATGCTTTGTCCTAGATTATCAAATGGAGTTTCTAAGGCATTAATGAGCAACTTCCACTGGAGCATGTAAGTATACTTTGTACTTCTGAAAAGTCACATGGACATTTATATAAAAAAGTAAACAAAACCCCAAAATGAGAAAATAATAACTGAAGGCTTAGAGCCTTTTATATGAGGAACAACAGATGAAACTTGTTTTTATTTCACTCTTAAAATGACAAGACTCAATTACAGAATGCCTGCTGAAAAAAATTTATTAAGGACACACAGCCTTCTACCAAGTTTTGGTCATTTTAAGAGCAGCATTTCCACTTCGGTTAGGTAAAGGAAAAGTTTGACTGTCTGCAGAGAACAGCCTATGAGTCGCCTGGCAGTGGAAGGAAATCCCTCTCTGAGACATGTACATCCGTATGGCTATTGCAAATGGAAAAAGAGGTAGGTAGGAGTTCCTTCCCTGCTGTATCTGCCTCTGGTGGTCGTCAGAAAGCAAATACCAGGCACTGAGCTCATCTGGTCTGGCTGGTTTAATCCTTTTGTATAGTTGCAATAGGATCTCTTGATTGATACTAGTCAAATATAGTATTAGTGGTATGCTTTCTTCCATGCCTAACTCCACAGACCCGGTAAGGGAGAGCTAACATTATAGCAGATACTGTTCTGGCAATATCCCCTCTGCTGTGCTCAGGGACCTGGGCAGAGATGGATTGCTGCTGTTGAAAACTGCTCTCTCACACTTGTGTTCCAGCTCTACTATCTCTCCATTGGGCAAAATTACTGCAGCTCCCTTTCTGTTACTGGCAGAATGAGACTTTAAATAAAAAATAGTAGTAGCCTGCTTCTTTCCTGAGGCTCTCTAACCAAGCTATTTTTAGAAATGAATTATAAGTATCTGTTGTGGTTTTTTTTTAAGGGAGAATCCAAATGAAGACATGCAAGTTCAGTCACTGTATTGTCTATCACCTCTCTTATGCCCCATGTTCTGTTCTCCTCACTCTGCACCCGGGAAAGTTAGCACTTCCCAAAGCAGAATCAGGTCTCACTCTGGTCTTCATTGTGTGAGAAAACAGAACTGATTTCATATTAAAAAAAAAAAAAAAAAGGTCAGTTTGGCCAAAGACATTCCAAAATTTGGTTCAAGACATTCCTAAAGTTCAATGTCAGCATGCCTTGCCCAGTTTGACTCAGTCTGCATTCTACAAGGTTGATCTAAACAGGCACACTTGCCCTGGGTGAAGAGTCCCTGTGAAAGGTTAAAATTCCTGCAACAGTGACCAGGTAGGCCGAAAAAGATAAGGCAGCAGATAACAGGGAACTTCATGGCATTTCCTGCAGCCACCCTCCTGCTGGAGCTGCAGGAGCTGGTTTTGGTCCACTTAAAGTGTATGAACGAGATGTATTTAATCTGCCCATATGTAGTTCACAGGGGAAGAGGGAACTTACAACTTGTACATACCCTGTACCTAAAGAGGGGTGTGTAGTTTCACAAATATATATATCTATATATATTATAAAAATAGCTGACATACAGAGATAAATATACATCCTACAAATTCATAAAACCTTAAACCATACATTTTAAATAAACATTATTAAAACATTAAAATATAAATTTTAAAATGTTGAAATACCAGAAAGTATACAGCATATGTAGTGTATGCATGTAAATAGGTAGGGGAGCATGTATGATTTCCAAGCCTTTCTGTGAGGCTGGAGCTGGCAGGCTCAGAGGCAGCTGGACCGGAGGGAGCTCCAGCTCTGGCCCCGGCCGAGACCCCGCGGGGTCAGGTGAGCCGGCGGTGTGTGCGGGGGGCAGCCCGGCCCTCAAGGAATTACGGAGCAGGATTACTTCATGTTCCCACCAGCCCCGTTTCACAATCCCGCTCTCCAACAGTGTCAAAGCCGGCACGCTCCTTCAAGTACACACACACCCCCTCCCTCTCCGTGTTCTCATGCCGGATTTTCCCAGGCCATGAATAATCTCGAAGCCCCCTCGATAAATACACGTTCAGGGATGCCCGGAGCTCATTCAACCCGCCAGCCTCGCCGACGAGAAGGGGCCGGAGCCGAGAAGCCGCCGCGATGAAGTTCGCCCCGAGCTGTGGCTGCGGCCGTGCCCGCTCCGCCCGCCGCCAGCCCGCGCTGCCGCTGCTGCTGCTGCTGCTGGTGGTGCCTGAGATGCTGTTGCCGCGCTCCGCCGCCGTCCCGCTGCCCGGCGCCGCAGACTCCTCGGGGGAGGCCGAGCCGGAGGAGGCGGCGGCGCGGCGGGAGGCGCTGCCCCTCAGCCTGCGGCTGGCGCAGCTGCTGCGCGACCGGGCGGCTCAGCTGCAGCACGAGGTGGGTACGGGCGGCCCGCGGGCTCGCACCCCGAACACACCCGGCCCGGGATGCGGGGAAGGGGGGGAGAGGGGGGGGGAAAGGAAGCTGCCTCCGGCCAAGGTGCGACCGAAACTTCTTGGTGTCTCTCCCCAGATGTGCGAGAAGTTCACCGTCTGCGAGAACAGCATGGAAATGCTCCTCCAGAACAACCTCAACCTCCCCAGAGTGACAGAGGAAGACGGGTGTCTGCACGCCGGCTTCGATGAGGCAAGGGACTCCTTTCTGGTCTAAACCTGGGTGCCTGGGGCAACTTTTGCCTGCTTAAAAAAACTCTGGAAGTTGACCTAAAGATCTGTGCCGGCTCCAGCTGGCTTTAGCCAGACCTTCACAACGTATAAGCATCATCTGCTAACCTGCACATGATATGTATCATATGCTAACCTGCAATGCTAAGCATTGCGATCAAGGCATTTTGAGCTGTAAGTGACTTTCTTACCTTTCTCTCATTTCAGGATAAATGCTTGAGAAAAATCTCCAGCGGGCTTTATACATTTCAGACATACCTCAAATACGTGCAAGAAACTTTTACTAGTGAAAACCAAAACGTTGAATCACTATCCTATAGCACAGAGCACCTGGCACATACCATAAGGCAGATGGTGAGTTGGTTTTAAATTCACTCTGATAATTGTTATGGCTTAATACTGATGTGCAGTCAGAGATACAAGATGCTATGTGAAGCTGAACATTTCCCACTGAAACAACAGGTGACAGTTCCTTATGCTCAGATCTCATCCCCATGACTAATTTTGAGGTTTTACAAAGTTTTGGTTTCTTTTCTTAAAGAACAACTCTTCTTCCTACTTTCTATTGTTATTTCTAATTTCCAAACCAAGTAAATGCATCAAAAAAGCGCAAATACATTTTTACAATAGTATTGATCTTTAAAACTCTCCAAAACAAACTTTAAAGCCAAGCTGTATGGTATATTGAGATATCTATCAGTAGCTTAAAAATCAAGGAAGATAGCTGCCTATTAAAAAGTACATACTTTGCTTGTAATGATCACGAGAAAAAAAAAAACAACTTTGACAAATACTGTTTTGATTTGGCATACTAAATGCTATTTATTTCTGACAAACATTTTCCATGCTTTGGAGAGCTCTGAAAGATCACATTTCAAAAATTCCCTTATTTCCTGTAGTTCTTGTTCACATTAATAATCCTTAACATGAATATTTCCTTTGTCATCAGGGAACCTATTTGCCCAAGTAAAAGTCATCCACATAAGGACTGCAGAAGTTTTGGGGAATTATTTCCTTCAAGGTGCTTTTTGGCATATGAAAAGGCCATTGTTTGTTTCCCATACATTTCCTAACATATTGATTTATGCACATCATTCTTTAAAGTGAAAGGAGGCTGAACTGCTTTTTTTCCACAGTGTTAGCTGAGAATAATAGCCCCATCATAAGACAGCAACTGACTACTGGCTTCCAACTTGATATAATAGTTTGCAGGAAGTTTTTTTCACAACTGAGGGAGATTAGGGTTTGGTTTGTTTTGAAAATCAGTAGAATTAATGTAATCAAACAGGCAGAATTAAATACAGCAAAACCTGTACTTGTAGAAACTACAGAGTTTTTGAGAAAAAGCCTTGATCTTCAAGTTGGAAGTTTTTCTTTATGAGAGAAAAATCTGCTATTTAAGGCAAGGAGAGCAAAGACAGAATCTGTCACTTGAGGTTAGACAGATCCACCAGTACAGTACCTGTATGGATATTCAGACACAAACTTTTACGGAGTGCAACAAGGAGCTGGGTATACCAGTAATAGGAGATGTGATCAGAATCCACTTCCAAGTAGTTTGGAGACAAGGAATATTTATTTTTATATTTCACACACACACACACACACACACACACACACACACACAAAGATATGCCAGAAGGAGGCTTGCATAATAAAAAAGTTCATAACTACTTTTACTCATCTTGTAGTTGTGCTCCCACACATCAGTGAAAGTTGGCGGCACTCAGTCTCCTCTGTGGCTAAATGCCTGGAAAGCAAGAATTAAGCAACTAAAGTTTGACATCTTTGGAAACTGTTAATCTACTACAAAACGTGAGAGTTTTTACTCCCAATTTCAGCTTATGTGACTCAGGAAGGAGCAGCCAGTACAGGTTAGAACAAAACATGATCATCACCTTCCCACCTCCCCACGGGACTGACAGACAGCGGGAGAGGTGCATTGATCTGCTCAGTGCAGAGCGTTGGACCGCGATGCCAGACATTGCATTCAAACCAGAGCAAACAGTATAGATCAGAGATTCTTACACAGGAATCATAGCAGGCATCAGCATGCCTCAAACCCCCCCACTGAAGCACAGCTGCATAGAAGCACAGCTTCCAGGGAGAACTGTTGCCTGCAGTACAGAAAAGGTGGATATGCAGCTGGTTGGGAACACACAAAGTGATGCTCTCCCACAAGCTCAATTACAATGTTTTAACCAGGATCCCCCCAATATTGTCTTTTTCATAGGTGATCAATCCCGAAGAAGTGATCATCCCAGATGCAGCTGCCCAGGAATCCCTCCGCGCAAAGCTGAAGTCCAGTAAGACCTGGATTGAGAAAATCACCACCCACCTTATCCTCCGAGACTTTACTTCATTTATGGAGAAAACAGTGAGGGCTGTGCGCTATTTGAAAAATACCAGGAGTTTCAGTGCCTAAATGTTTTAGTTCAGGCACAATCCTTTGTTACACATCTGTCATGTGGCAGATGACAGTGTTGTTCTGTTTTAAGAACCAGAAAAAGTAACAGTGGTTTGCATTTATATACATTCCTATTTCCTTCTAGGAAGTTATTTATTGTATTTAAAATATTTATTAGTTTCTAATGTTTCTTATTTATATTTTCAATATTTACAAATAATTTAAGCAAAGGACATATTTTATTTACCTTTATACTGGTACTATTCAGAATACCAACCTATTTAATACGTACTCAACAAAAAAATATTTTCAGAACCCAGAAAAATTGTTGTCTACCTTATGTTTTTAAACTATTTGAAAGATGGTATTTATGACTTATTTATATTTTTAAAACAAATAAAAGCTGATTTAAAAAAAAAAACCCTGTATAACCCGTGTGAACTTTTAATTAGACTAAGGCACTCTAATAAATTCAGTTTTTAATGCCTGCAATTATCAGAATAATCACTTTCAAGAATTTATCTGTGTAATTAGTTCAGTTATCTACATAGCACCTATGTACACATATACAGACAACTTGGTCAACATATAATTCATAAAACTGGATATAAAGGAACCAGATGTACCAAACACGGAACTTAAGAATGAGCACGATAAACTAAAACATTGCTCCTGAGAAACAAAAGAACAATAACTCCACTACACTCAATAAGGAAAAGTCCATAAAACCGTAATTGTTTGGAAGGATCTTCTTACAAGTTTAACAATCTCTTTTAAATAAATAAAATGGTGAGACTTTGACATGAATACTATCTTTTGATTAGTTTTACTGCTGTCATCCAAGGGAATTTTCCAAGTTTGATTAAACATTTCTCCCTCCTCTCCCAAGAAGCAGAAAAAAAACTTAGGTTCTTTCCTTAGGTGATATAAATCAACATATTGCTGCTGAGATGTCAATGACCATGGATGACACAATGCCTTTGTCTTTTATCATTTATATTCCACTAGCATGGACAGGCGACAAACCATGAATGCATATCCTTGAATACTGTAGAGAAAAACAAACAAACAAACAAACCAAAACAAAACCTAAGCTTGAGTATCAAAGTGCTGAAACTTTCCCTAGCTGTATCATTTGCAGCACTGGAGCTGTGCAGGTACCAGATGCACCCAAACTTTGAGGAATTCACAGGCCACACAAGGGATGCAGGCAGCAGAAGTCCCTCGAGCTTTGTCTCTAAAATTAATAGAATATTAATTTCCCTCTCTCTTTCTTCCAGCACAGCAGTGAAGATGAGGAGATGAAAGGCATGCCCTGGAATGTGGAAAAGGATGTCAGTAAATTCTCCTCTTCCTCTGTGCGATCTGATTGTCCACATATGCATTCCACCACTGGGGATGCCAAAACAGTGACAAGTCCACCCACTGTTCACATTTCAGATGCTCTAAACAAACAAAACCACTGCTTTGCCCAATATGGTAAAACTGTCGTCTTAAGTTGTGCAACATCTTGAGAAAGAATGAGGAGACCTCAAGGTGGTCACTTTAAAGATGTTTGTGGTGAATGGTTTTTATCACAGCACATAAGATCCTGCTTTAGCTATCCTGGCATGTGCTAGGAAACATAGGAAAGCCTGGTTTGGCTTTTTCACTGCTTCCTTTCAGAGAGATTTTTTTTCAGTGACCATTTGGCTAGTGATCATTCTGGCCCTTATTATCACAATAACAGCTATGAGACCCAAATGTGGATCCCACACTGGACCTTATTACTATGTGAGAACAGGGAGGAGAAAAAAAAAAAAAAAAAGGCTGACCAAAAAGAAAGGCATTTCCTGGTTTCACCTCTCCCAGTAGAGATCACCGTTAATTACTATGTACACCAGAGCAAAACAAACTTGCACTGATCTCCTTAAAGGCCAGAAAGCACCTATGAATTGAGGTACTGAAATACCTCGCAATTGATAGACAAGCACCCACACCTCCAGCACTCTGCAGCTGGTAGCCACCCCACGTGGTCTGCAACTAGAGTAAAGATCTAAATGCTGCGACATTTTAGGATGTAGAAGATGAGCAAAGATTACCACCTGTTTGGTGGGAAGGCCAACTTTCAAGCCCTTCCTGGAGCAAAGGATATCGCTGGTGCTGCTGCTGAGCTGCCATTATTTTACATGTGGCTCCTCCACAGTCACCTGCAGTTCTCAGAGTACTTCAGTGCAGCAGCTGCTTTGCTGGCCATCACTGCTGTTACAGTGCCAACTCCAGGGACTGCCGCCAGGATAAGCACTGCTTGCTGAAACCAACACTCACTGGCGCTTGTGGCACAGGAAGATTTGCACTGGGGAATTCAGATGGAAGTCAGAGGAGAACCTAAACATTGTTGATGTTATGGGGCTTCTCAGACAACCCAACTACTCATCCTTTATGCAGTTTCCTGTGCAGGAAGTATTCGTCAACAATCAAAAAACACACATAGGCATTTAGTTTAGTTGGCAGACCACCACAGACACATAAAAAAAACAGAACAAGAGTAAAAACGGGCATTCCTAACTACATTTAGCCATGATGAAATACCCCAACACTTCAATAGAAGAGCGCTCCTCCTAACTGACAGCTAACTCACGGAGTAAGGCAAAAAACCAACCCTAAAAAACAAAACAATGACAAAAAACCCCAAACCAACCCAAACAAAAAAAGACCTGCTAATGATTACCTAAAAAATTAGGAAATCACCCCACAAAAGCAGCATTCTGGCTGCTACTGTACAGGACCAGCTTTGCACTGCAGATCCCTGCTAGCCCTTCCCCTTCCATTGTATCCCTACTCAGTAACCCCATACTGAGATTCTGGAATGCTGAGCAGTTACCAGTTCCCTTCATCCTGATTTTGAAATCCACACGCAGGAAGAAGGTAAAGCTATGTTGAAAAGTATGCATACACTCAACACAAGAAAAAGCCCACAGTGTTAAGAAACAGCGTTAACAATGCTGCCATAACACTAGAATGCTGGACAAGAGAGAAAAAAATCCCAAACAACCAAAACAACAACAACAAATTAAAAAGACAGAATGCAACCTAATATTAAAGTCATCTGTAATACAAAAATACTCTTTTTCCAATTATAGTCTCTGAAGTATCATTTTCCAATTTTTTTTACCATGCTTTTTTCTGTGTAAGAAACTAATAAGAAAAAAAAAGTGAAAACATTTCAGCTTGACCGACTTTCCAGGCTGCAGTACCATCCCCTACCCAGTAAGCTCGTGTACTGCTGTAAACACCAAATTTTGGCAGAAAGAACAACAGCTACTTGAAAGACTGCCCGCATATCTAATACCTTCACAGATTTTATTAACAGATGATGGTAAGTGAGCTTATCAAGACCAAACTGATGCTACAAGAGATGGAAGAGTTAAGCCACCAGTAAAGCACAGGAGCAGGAACACTTTTCTGCAGTAATGAGCCATAAGACTGGCTTAACTTGATGGGAAACTTCCCTTTAAGTTTGCCACTGTTATTTGTGACTAATAATCTTTTCCACGGTCAATTTAAAAGATTAAATGCTTGAAATTTAGGTATGCAGTGGTATATGTCAAAATCACATCCTGATGGTCAAGAGGTGTTGCCAAATATATATATATATATATATATCTACATATACTAGTATAAATGTAACTACAAACTTTGTGATATTGGTGGGAAACTTTCTGTAAACCCTTGCTTCTTGAAAAATAACTAGACAACAATTTCTTTCTCCTTGATACGAGGAAAATCAAAACCCACCCCCTTGCTCCCCAAATATGCAATCTCTGCAGGCTTCAATACTGAAGTACCATTTTCTCCTGAACTCCTAGCAAAATAAACTAATTCCTGTAATCTAAACATATTTAACCAAACCTTGGCATATTTTCAAGACTGATCTTGGCAGTCATTAGAAAACACGCTAAAGACATTTTGCAATCTGAATTTCTATTCAGTGAACAGAATCTAAGAATCTAAGAAGATTCAATCTTTTATAAGAAAACCCATTTTTAAAAAAATTACACATTTTCAGAATCAGAACACTGAGATTTGATTTGCTTTGCCAAAATACCCTTTTCCACTTAGCAGATACCCTTTTAGAAAATACCCTTTTGCACTCAGCAGATAAGCATTCCCTCCATCTCACCCATTCTCTAATCCTGAATTAATATAAGCATAACCAGGCAACAATGCATATAACCCACAAGCTTAACCAAGACATGGCTATTGCATCACACACCATCATGGAAAAGTATTTAGAAATTCCAATTAAATGGTTATTTGTAAAAATTAGATTAGTCATATGACATTTAACAGGATGTGATCTCTACTTCTGTGGTGAAAACTGATGTAATGAGCTTTAATTTCCAAATATCATTAGTATCATCATAGCTTAAATTCCAAGCCTGTAACAAAATATTTCAAAAAATACCCAGGGTAAATGCTTTGGTTTAGCATTTTTTCCTGATAAAAACCAGTATGTTAGATCTCTGTTTCACTTACAATGCAAGAAGACTAGATCTTAAGCAGCACTTTGTCACCTACAGCCATTTTGGAAGGCAAATGTACAAAGCAGCAAAGGACGGGTTTTATACGCCGCCAGAACTGGGGCCTGTTGTGACAAAACTCTGAATGATGCTTTGGTCTGCATTGTTTATGTGTTTAAAAGCTAGAGTTTAAGCTACTAGGAGTTTTGCTCATCAGTTAATTCATGAAAAAAAGGAGATAGCCTCTGTTTTATAACATAACAGTACAGTTACTTTGTACCATCCACGTCTACACCAGGAATTTGTAGCAGATGGAAATACCTGTTTCAAATTTCCTATCACTTAAACTTTGCCTCACAGCTGGCCATCCTTGAAGAGTTGTTAGAGCAAACATGTAGATTCCTTTGTATGTTAACTTCTTAAGAACAAATTTATACTGTAATCCTGATTTGTTTTTTCTCCTTTGTTTAGTGATGACACTACACTGTTTTTTTACCAGGAGATCCACAGGCCAAACACCAAGACCAAGAAAACCACCAAACTTAAGACTCCCTCAGCATCACACACCAAGTACCACAGGAGCCCCACAGGGCTCTGTGGCTCCTCTGATGTACATGCTTTTTTCTCGCTTCTCACTTCACCGTCACCTTTAAAAGTCTTGCCCATTTTTAAAACCCTTTGTTGTTGTTCTGACCTCCTTGTCCTTATTCTCTTTTCAGGACCCTGACTCTCTGCCTACCTTCCTTCCTCCTTGTCTCTTAGCCCATCTTTATCCCCCTTTCCATCGCTTGCTATGCCAATGCCCCAGGGTCACTCCTCAGAGCTGAGCTGGCAGGAGATGCTTTGTTGAAGGGCCTGTCACCACTGAGTGCTAATGAGTTTCTGCCCACCGTGATTACTAAACAGTACCAGTTTGTATCTGATCTTCTGACTTCACCTGAACGGGAGAAGCAGTTTTAAGAAAATACAGGGATGATAAAAAATAAAGAAATTGTTCCTGAATGGTAAAACCACCAGCAGCTGTTGCAGTCCATGTGTCAGCAAA